TTCACATCAACCTTAGGTTTTCAAACTCTTTTGGAAGAAAAACCATTGTTAGCATTATGATTTATATTAGCAACAAAACTATGGTTTTGAAGAACTTTCTTCAAATAAGCAATAAACCTGATGGGGCTAATGTGACCTTTCCTATAACAAAAATGGTAAATAGAAATGAATTTTGATACCTTTATAACTTGTCTCACAACAGTTCCTTCAGCAAGAGTTTCGATGGCCTTCATAAACGTGCTTGCACCAACTTTTTCCTTGACCAGACACTTCATCAAGCTTAAGAGAACATGCATTCAACTTATCAATGATGGTCTTAGCCTCAGTTAGTTCAACAATAAGAACAACAATTTTTTCGGACAAGGCTTTCTTTTGCTTCAACAAAGTAGCATTCTCAATACCAAGATATTGCAACTTTTTCACAGCCTTTAGCCATTGGTCATACATTTTATCATATGCCTCTTGTTGCTCAGCATAGATATCAATAGTGTCATCCAAAACCTCACTCTTACCATCTTCTTGGTTCATGGTCAAGGCAAGAACATTTTCATCATCACCTAAGTCATCATCTTCACTTTCATCATGCTCACTCTCACTCAAAGTGGCAGCTATGACCTTACATTTCTTATTTTTCAGTGTATTAACACACTCAGATTGTATGTGCCCAAAGCCCTCACATTCAAAACACTTGATACCTTTATTTTTCTTTTCTTTATCTTTTGAAAACTTCTTTGTAAAGGTACCAGGGGTTTGATGGTCATAAGACTTTTTCACAAAAGCTTTTCGGCCATAACCACCATTATGAGGCTTTTTCATGTTTTTCTTAAGAAACTTAGCAAAATTCTTTGTAAGTAAAGCACAATTTTCATCATCCAATGAACTTAAATCACAATCATCAAAAGGATCAGAATCAACCTCATGTTTGAGAGCCAAACCTTTGCTCGCTTTCTGTTTGTCCCAACATTTTAGATTTAGTTCATAGGTTTGAAGAGAGCCAATGAGTTCATCAATGTTCATAGCATCCACATCTCGACATTCTTTGACGGTGATGACCTTTGACATAAATCTCCAAGGTAAAGAGCAAATCACTTTCCTAACAAGTTCATCATTAGTATATGTTTTTCCCAAAGCAAAACACTCATTAGAAATATCACAAACTCCACCATAGAAATTAGTTATAGTCTCATCCTCATCCATGTTTAGATTTTCAAAATCAATGACAAGTCTTCTAAGCATATTTCTTTTAACGGCACTAGTTCCCTTATTCTTGACTTGAAGCCTATCGCAAGCATCTTTAGTAAGCTCACAATTAGCTATGACTTTCATTTGGTTCACATTAACAGCATTAAAAAGGGCATGAATGGCTTTAGAGTTATAGTTTGCAAGAGTTAACTCATCAGTAGTCCAACTACCAACAGGTTTTGGTCTAGACACTTCATTTTCGACAATAACCAGGGTTGTCCAACCATTCACAACCGTGGACCAAACTCTTTCATCAATAGACTTAAGAAAATCACGCATCCTAGGTCTCTATGTATAATAGTTAGGTCCTTCTAACAGAGGTGGTCTATGAGTAGATCCACCTTTAGTGAAGAAGCTCATGACGAAAAACAATCAGAGACACTACAAGAAAAAGTACTTTTTGCAACCATTTTTTTTTGCAACTAGGCAAAAATAGTTGCAGATACCGTACATTTAGTAACTAAATTCTAATTAGTTGGCCAAAGGGAATAAAATTCCAGGGCCCATTTATACCTGCCTTTAGCGAAATTAATATTTTGCAACTACTGTTATTTGTTGCCCAAAATATCACATCAGCGACTAATTTATTTAGTTGCCAATTCTTACACAAACACAATTGACAACTACAACAAGGGATTCTGCAACTAAAATTATGGTTACAGAAAACAATTATTTGCAACTACTGAATAGTTGCTAAATTATATGCAAATATTTATTAATTAATTTGTAACTATTTTTATTAGTTACAAAATAAATAATACAATTACCGAAATATCCAAGCTTTTGACAATAATTACAAAGGGCCCAGGGTACATTTGGCAACTAATTATTTTGTGCATATTACAACTAGTTGCAAAAACTCATGTATAGCAACTAAAATGTATTTAGTCGCTAAAAGTTGATGAATTTTTTTGAACCCAATTTTCCCGATAAAATGAAAAAATATTATTTTAATTTATGACTAAAATTACTGTTGCGTAACTAATTAGTTAGTTACAAATTATCTTCTTTTGGCAACTAAGATTTTAGTTGCCAAATGTGTGGTAAATTTTGAGCGCCCCATGTTCTCGCTTGAAATAAATTGAAATTTTGGGTATGTTATTTTGGCAACTAAAGTTATTATTGTTAATAGGTTTTTGCAACAAAAATGTAGCCACTAAATATGGGTATTAAAAATAATATATACTACTAGTAACCAAATCAATGTATTGTTTGATTCTACTTTTGCCGCCTACATTACCATCTCTTTGATTCTACTTTTGCCGTCTCATTACCCATTGAAGGTAACTTTTTTTTATTTTATGTTAAAGCTCATTCTTTTACGGATGGTATTTTAATTTTATAGTTTGATTTTCAATCCGTTTCTTCACAACATTTGCTTTAATTTGTTTAAGTTCTGTTGTAGTGACGTTCCTAAATGGGTGGGTTTAACTTCGTAATGTGTGATTTTTTTTTGTCTTCTCTTTCATCTGATTACCATAGACTGTTTTTGTTTTGGTTACACATGGGTTTTGTGAATGTTTGTGTGCAAGCTGCAACTCAAATTTTGAATAAGTGTAAACAAGGAAAGGGAAAGTGGAAATTAGTTTTTGTTCATATAAAACTAGAAACGCTATCGTATGGCTATATGAAAAGGATCTTCACTACTAGAAAAACCCTTCCTGGACAGAAGAGTTAACAGATTTTTTTGACCGTTTTAAAAAAACTATCAAGAATTGTAATTTTTAACTGATTGTTGACCATTTGTGAACTGTCAAGAATTTGAAATAATTTTGACCATTTTGGATGATTCTTGACAGTTATTATAGTCAGAAATTGGTTAAAAATAAAATTTGCAAATCTTGTTCTTGACTATGTAGTCACTCCTGACCGTTAAAAACTGTGAAGGATTATATAGATAAAAAACAGAAAAAAAAAAAAAAAATTTGCCTAAGACTTTTCCTGCCCATTTTTTGCCACCAATTTTTCATTCATTACTCCCACAATTTTTTCCTTAAAACTTATGCTTACCCTTATTCACTCATTTTTGTAAACCCTCATAGTCGACCTATTTTCGACACTGGAAAAAAGTTCTCGTTTCTACCACTCTCATTCAATAGATGACGACTTGCTTAATGACTCTGAGCTTACTCTGTGTCTATTTTGACGGAGTTTGTTAACTTTGGTGAGTTCTTATCGAGGCATATCCCCAACACCCAAAAGTAGAAGTGTTCAAAAAAATGTAGAAATCAAACCAAATGGGAACCGAAGTGGTTTTCTAGTTATCGGGGAAATCGATTCGGTTTTGGTCCATAGAAATGAGAAAAACGAAGTCGATTTTATTAAAAAACATTAAAAAGTAAACATTTTTTCATTAAAATAAAAAAAGCAATTTAAATTAAAAAGATTATAAATCTAAAATTAAAGAAAATTAAAACCCCAAACCCGGTTTAAAAAAAAAGAAAAGAAATAATAAAATAAAACAAATTTTCCCACCTCAAAATTTCACCAAGGCAAATTCTCACCTATTTTTCATTAAATCAAAGCTAGGTTATAACTATTAGAATAACCCATTTCTTCTACCCAAAATTTCGGCGCCCAAAAACTCGTTCTTCCGCGAAAAACGAGAACATTTCCCTCTCTTCGCCAAAATCTCTCTTTGTCGCTCTTCCACTGAATTGCAGAGGTTTCTCGTTGCAACAATCAATCTTCTTCTCAAATCTTTTCAATCAATCTTCTGATTGCTCTTTTTTTCTCAATCTTCTTCTCGTTGGGATTTGTCTAATTGGTCTGTCCTCTCAATCTTCTTCTCTTTGCGATTAGGGCAAAAGGTTGAATGGATTAATCAATCTGGGCTATTGAAGAGAAGAAAGGGTTTGTGAAGGGAGAGTTAGGGCATTTCGGTCATTGTGAAGCTGATCTGTGTGGGAACATGAATCTTCAGATTGTATGGAAAACTATGATAAAGAAATGGTGGATGGAGTAATGAAGGTGGCCATTACTGTTCGAAAAAAGATGATGATATTTGCTGTGTGTTTGTGGCCAGGTATTTTGTTTTCCCATTTTAAATTTTATTTATATAATGCTTTCATTGTTGTTTAAAGAACAAGCTTTGTGGTGTGGGGATTTTTAATTTTTTTTAAGTTCTTAGTTTTTAGCATTGCTAGTTGCCTAAAATGAGTTTGATGTGCCTTTCATTGCAGCTTTGGATGATTTTTTGGATTCAATTTTGGGTGATTTTGTTCTTTAAAAAAGATAAATAAATAAAAAACCCTTTCGTTTTTAACTATTTGTTAGGTGTTAGGCAAGCGGAAATGACGACAACAATAAGCTTCAACTCATTCTTACTGGAGGAGTTCAAGTTCTGTCGTGTTTTTTTAATTAATTTATTGTCTTTCTACTCTTCAATTGAAAAATATTTGAAATTTGGGTCGGGTATTTGAGTATTGATTGCAGGGTTGGATATGAATATAAAGCTGTGAACTTGGTGAAGGAAGAGCAAAACAGTCCTGGTGATTTTGCTTTTGGTTTTGAGGATAATTACAATACCAGATGGCCAAAATGGACGGGGTTTGACTTTGATTTGTTTGATAATTGAACTTTTTTTTTTTTTTTTTTTTTTTTTTTGTAGAGTTTAGAAACCTCAATCTCTGGTTATGTGCCGGTTTTGGTAGATGGAGATGTTCTTCTTTCTGATTTTGCTATTTACATGGTCAGTATTGATACTCTTTATTTTATATTATCTTGTGTCACTTTTGTGAATATGGAGGGATTTTTTAGTATAAATTGGCCTTGCTTGTAGTATCTGGCAGAGAAGTATCCTTAGCATCCATTTTTGCCTTCTGATCTTAAGACAAAAGCTATCAATTTTCAGGTTAATTCTATTTCATTTCCCTTTATTTATCTTATTATTGTTTTCAATGACATATTTCTATAATTTGTAACCATTGTAAAGAAACTGGTTTTTGTTAATCAAGAATCACTTCTGCTTTTAGAATTGTCATGATTTTTAAATTTGCAGTAGACTGTTCAATTTCATTTTTGTCACTTAGATGTTGTTCCGGTGATTGGGGTGGGCTGGGTATAGTTTTGTATGTAATTTGATTTGTCCTGTGATTATTCATAGCAATTTGATATCATTGAAGCCAGTAGAATGTTCTGCTTTTAGAATTTGTCTGTCATGAGTTTGATGTGCCTTTCGTTGCAGCTTTGGATGATTTTTGGATTCAAGTTTTGGGTGATTATTGTTTCTTTAAAAAAGATAATAAATAAAAACCTTTGTTTTATTAATATTTTTTTGGGTTAGGCAAGCGGAAATGACGGCAGTAACAATAAGCTTCAACTCTATTCTTACTGGAGGAGTTCAAGTTCTTGTCGTGTTTTTTAAATCAAATTATTGTCTTTCTACTCTTCAATTGAAAAAAAATTGAAATTTGACTGTCTGGTGAACCTTCTAGATTGAATTAATCAAAATTGTAATCTTGCTTTTCTCTTTGTTTGTTGTAGTGTAGTTCTGTCATCTGTTCCCTGTTTCTTTTTCATTGGGAAGCCTGAGCAGTTGTTGTATCTGGAAACAGGATGAATGCTGTTATAAACTTTCCATTTTTTTTCTTTTTATTCCTTGCTGCTTCTCTGACACACACGCTGATGTGCTCCCAATGTCTAGTGTTTGCAGACCCTATGTACACATGATATGAACCAAAATGGTTAGCGTGGACTTTTTTCAATATGAGTCAGCCTGTGCTTATTGCAGAGTAGTTATGCTCACTTGGTGACAAATGAAATTCGTTGATAACATTTGGTTTTTCCATGAAGTTTCACTTTAATGGATGATTGCTTCATATTAAGATGATGATGTCCGATCAAATGTGTCATTGCACTTGCATGTATATTTTCATTAATGATAAAATATTCAATCTACTTGCCTTTCTTCTTTTCCTTGGTCGTCCCCCTGGCCCTTCACCGCCAAGTATGGTTATCTCTACCCTTAAACTAACTGTATGATCTTGTTAATGATGGGAAGTAATGTAGATTGCTAAGAACTTTGGTTTGCACTATATTGTAGGAAATCATAAGATAAAGAATGAACACCCGGATGATAGCCAATGTATTGTCAATGATAGAGTGAAATGCATCTAAGGTCACCAGAACGGTTGGAGGAGTAGCTCGTCTTAGTTGATCAACAAAAAGAGAAATAAAAAAGCCTTGACAAAACTATTTGTTTTGTTGGAGATATGAAGTAGCAACTATAGCCTTTGAACTACAACAATCTGATAAGCTCCAACTCGACAGCCATCGCCATCTCCAACTACTGAAGACTCGTCCATCAGCTACAACATTTCAAAAAAGGCAACTGGTGACACTTGAGATACTCTAGATATTGATGGTTAGTTTTTTGTTGTATGGGTAGTAGATATTTTAACTGGGGGTAGAACCATCTTTTTAAGACTGTTTGCATATATCTGTTAGATGGTGTACATGGGGTGGACATTTTTTGTTAGTTATGTACAAATAGATAGCTAGTGATGAAAATGGGGGTGCATACTTTTTTTTTTTTTTTTTTGTTATGCCACTGATAGTGCATTTTGGATTTTATTTCTTTAATGCATAAAAATTCATGTATATATATAAATATATATGTATGAAAATTGTATATGAGTTAGTGATCAGATTTTATAGGTGCAATTATTTGTTGATGTTGAATGTATAAACTAGGTCAATACAAAATGCTTAAAACAAAACACATTCTGCAACTAATTTTTTAGTAGCAAAAAGTAATTTAGCATAATTGTATTCCACATTCAGTGTCTAAAGTTATAGAATTAACTACTAAATTTTGGTTACCAAAAAATACATTTGTCTAATAGTCGCGAAAACTTTTTAAATTTCACATTCAGCGTCTTAAAATATTATAATTATCATTAAATTTGGGCATCAAAAGATACATTCGTCCACTGATAAAATAATCGCGAAAACTTTTTGGATTTCGCATTCAGTGTCTAAAAAAGACTACAATTAACCATTAAATTTTGGTCACCAAAAAATATATTTGGTCACTAATAAAATAGTTACAAAAACCTTTTGGATTTACATTCATTGTTTAAAGTATTACAATATACTACCAAATTTTAGTCACCAAAAGATATATTCGTCGACTAATAAAATAGTTGCGAAAACTTTTTACGAAATATCCTCACACCTTTAACGTCTAATTTTTGTGGCATTCGTGACAAAATATTGACACTAAAAGGTACATTTGCAACTAATTGATTAATCGTGATACATTTTACCAATTACCTTGAACAATTAGCGTTTTAATAGGAGGACTATTTTAACAAGCAATTAGCGACTAATTTGCTAGTCGCTAAAAAGAAACTTTCTGTGTCAACCAAAAATTTAGACAGCCCATACTTTCTACGATAGCGATTCCAAACTACATGGCGACTACGAAATTTAGACGCGAGATATGATTTAGCGGCTAAATTTTACTTTCTGCGTCTAATTTTGCTAGACGCTGAAAGACATTTTTCTTGTAGTGAGAGATGCTAACACAAGAAACTGTAGTGCACACATAGACACCACAACAGATCTAAAAAGAAAATGCAACACAAATCATATTTCGTCTAACAACCAGACCACTTGATGCACACAAAAACAAGCAAAGTGGATAAGGATCAACTAAAGCAACTTATCAGGACATTCTTATAACCACTTGTGGGGAGAGAGTTGTAGTTTAACTCATTTTAGAGTGTGGTTATCCATTTTAAGTGCAGCGAAATAATACCAAGTAGATTAAAACATTTCCAATTTAACACATCAAACACAAGTGTGAAAATAAGAACACAACTATATACATGGTTCGGCTAAATCCACTTTTAGCCACAATCCATGGGACCTTGTCCAAATCGAAACAATCCACTAAGTTAAAACACTTACAAATATATTTCAAACTTGATCTAAGATATAGTAAAAAGAACTCTTTGTTCAACTTTACACTTAGCACCACACTCTAAATCCTTAACATGTAGCAACTCTCCGGATCTTCTTCACGCCGGGAACCACCGAGAATAACTTGTGAACCACCAAGCTTCAAGCACTGATGCACGCACCAGCATAGCAAAGGAACCACGTTCCAAGAACCATCAAGTCTATGTTGATATGGTGAGGTTTTGGCACAAAATGGAAATGAACCTTTGAACCTTAAGAGAAGAATACTCTAAAAATTTTAGAGTACAATGAAACAAAATGTCAAAAGGTTCGATTTATACACGCAAGAAAGGGTATTATATAATGTAGGGTTTCTTGCTCACACTATAGTGTCAGTCAGCTAACAAGGGGTGACCCATGTTTGTCAAATAAGGAAAGAATTCATTTGTTTTGGTTTGGACCACGAAACAAATCAGAAAAAGAAACTTTATTCCCTAGGACTACTTAAGGATATTATGACACATGTAAAAAGGTCCTGAAAAAAGTGAGAGAAAAGATAAAAAATATTTTTTTTTCTTTATCAGACATGCAACTTATGTTGGGTTGCAAATGTCCCTATGAATTAGCTCAAAGAGTATTTTGATGTTGCAAGAATGTAGGACTTGTTTGCTGCACTTCTTCTCTCCTTCACTCTTCTTCGAAGTGAGCTTTTAAACTTTGATTTAAAAATATAGCCGTTGAGAAAATTTTACATGTAAAAGTAGGAGGAATAGGTGTTACAATATCACGAATGGCCATTCCTGACTCCAATAGTCATAAATTAAATTTGAAATCTAGATCTAGAATGGCCGTTCTTTTGTTAGTAACGGACGTTAGTTGCTTTTGATATGTGAAACCTATACATCATTAGAAAGCTCTTTCAGTCAGCTTTCTCAAACATCTTACAAAGTTGAATTTGGAGTTCTCTAGAGAAAGTTATAGACCAGTCTTTGCAACCTGTCCAGAGTTTCCAAAATTATGAACAACTTGGTGGAACGGTGTTGTGCATGCATAGAAAAGCTTGGGAAATTGATGAACGAGCATTCATTCATGATGAATGGTCGTTCCACTCTAAATCTCCATTTTTTCCAAAATTTGGCAAAACCATGAATGAGTTTATGGAATGGGCACGTTCATGCCTAGAACAGCTTGAGGATAGACGAATGACCATTCATTCTTTTAAAATGGGATTTTCTCCATGATTACGGATTATTTGGGCAAAGTGATAAACACGAAAGCTTTATCCCTCTAAATTATTATATTTTCGACACCACAAGAATCACGTAATTCTGATATCTATAGCAAAGGTATCCCCGAAATATTGAAGAGATGTTCTAGATCTTGATTTTACTAGACCATCAACTCATATCGTGATTTTCTTCTTGATACCAAATGATCTGGCCAAGTGACAAACATCAAAGTTTTAGCCATTTTAGTTATATTTCCAAGTCCGCTAGAATAACCCGATTTGGAGCTCTCTAGCCAAAGATATATCCAAAATACTCAATAATAGTTCTGGATGTTGATTTTGCCAGACTATAAACTTGTATCTTGATTTTATCCTCGATCCTGGTTGATCTGGGTGAACTGATGAACATAAAAGTTTTAGCCCTTTGTATTATTCTTCCAAATCCACATGAATGACCTAATTTGGATCTCTCTATCCAAAGTTATCTTCAAAATATCGAAGAGTATTCTAGGGGATGGCTTGGAGTTGGGAATGAGCATTTATCATTTAGGAACGGGCGTTTCGAGCTTAAACCTTGCATCATTACAAGAAAAATGCCTTTCGGCGTCTAGCAAAATTAGACACAGAAAGTCAGATTTAGACGCTAAGCATTTTTTGCGTCTAAATTTCGTAGTCGCCCCTTAGTTGCAGTATCGCTGTCATAGATTGTTTGTGCGTCTAAATTTTTATTTAGATGCGGAAAGTTTTTTTTTAGCGACTAGCAAATTAGTCGCTAATTGCTGGTCAAAATAGTCCCCCAACTTAGACGCTAATAAGTAAAGGGTAATTTGATAAAATTGTATAGCGACTAATCAATTAGTTGCAAAATGTACCTTTTAGTGTCTAATAATTTGTCGCGAATGCCACAAAAATTTGATGCCAAAGGTATAAGGGTAATTTCGTAAAAGGCTTTTGCAACTATTTTATTAGTCGACGAATGTATCTTTTGGTGACCAAACTTTAGTGATTAATTGTAATACTTTTAGACGCTGAATGTAGAATCCAAACGGTTTTCGCGGCTATTTTATTAGTGGCCAAATGTATCTTTTGGTGACCAAAATTTAGTAGTTAATTCTAGTAATTTTAGACGCTAAATGTGGAATCCAATAGATTTTCGTAACTATTTTATTAGTGGCCAAATATATCTTTTGGTGACCAAAATTTAGTGATTAATTATAATCATTTTAGACGCTGAATGTGAAATCCAATAAATTTTCATGACTATTTTATTAGTGGACGAATGTATCATTTGGTAACCAAAATTTAGTGGTTAATTGTAATCATTTTTTAGACGCTGATTGTGGAAGCAATTAAACTAAATTACTTTTTGCTATTAAAACATTAGTTGCAGAATGTGTTTTTTTGAGCATTTGACTTCCAACGGAATGCAATTATGCTAAATTATTTTTTGCTAGTAAAATATTAGTTGCAAAATGTGTGTTTTTTTTTTAGAGCATTTCGTATTGACCTACATTATACATTCAACATCAACAAAATAATTGACACAATATACAAATCTGATCACTAAATCAAATATCATATTTTCATACATATATATAGCCCATACATGAATTTTTATGCATGATGAGCAATAAAAATCCAATATGCACTATCACATGTGCATTAAAAAAAAAAAAAAAAAAAATAGCATGCACCCACATTTTCCCCACTACCTATCTATCTGTGCATAACTAACAAAAAAATGCCCACCCTATGTGCACCATCTAACATATATATGCAAACAATCCTAAAAAGATGGTTCTACCCCCATTTCAAAATATCTACTGCCCATACAACAAAAAAATAACCATCAATACCGTTAGCATGTCAAGTGTCACCAGTTGCGGTTTTTGAAATAGCTGTAGCTGATGAGGATGAGTCTTCATCCGGTGGAGATGGCAATGGCTATCGAGTTGGAGCTTTATCAGATTGATGTAGTTCAAGGGCTATAGTTAGCTGCTTCATCATCTCCAACAGAACAAATTGTTGGTGTTCAAGGCTTTTTATTTTCTCTTTTTGTTGATCAAATAAGATGAGTTGCTCCTCCAACTACTTAATCTTATTTTCTTGTTGTTGCACAATACACCTTAACTCTGCTTCTGTTGCAGTGGATTGATGCTCAGTCTGTGAAAATGCAAAATTCTGGTTAAATCCGGAAGCTTTACCCAGAACTTCCTCACATATTTCAACTTCAGTTTTTTCACTTTCCCCTGCTTGTGTTTCATCTTGCAGCTCTATCATTTTTTCCTACCATCAATTGAATACATAACCAATAAGTCAACCAACAAACTAAATAGCAACATAAAAGAATACTGCAGCACCAAACAAAAATAAATTTGATGGAGTAGAGAAGCAAGTATATCAAACATTATCAATCTAATACTAAAAGACAAATTCTGACATAAAGTTTTTATATTGAAAAGTGTGAAATTATATGTTTTGTAGTTTATTACCATCACCTAATGGAGGTCTAGATTAAAAAAAAATGTGGATGTCTACATCTGAGAATTTTCTTATACACATATAAGCAACAAATTTACAATCACATATCCATGCATAAACATGCTAAGTAATTGGAAAGATAACGGTTGTTGCGTTTTGTAAATATCATAAAAGTGATGTGGCAAGGCTGCTATGGTGATACGGAATGGAAGTTGATTAGTTCAGTATTACTCATCAAGAAGTATAAATCTGTACATATGCATTTCCCATTTTCAAAGTGTTTTAATTCTCCAAGAGGCAAAACAAAGCCATGGTTCTCTGCCATTGCTAGCAGAGCTCCCAAGGACATACACTACCACACTGTAAAAACTCCACTAACATACATGATCTTCAGCAATCATGAAGTTGAATTGTTCAAAAATAACAGATTCATTCCAAGTGTACAAATCAGGAAAGGTGCCCAAAGAGAAGAATGAAAACTACATCTCATTTAAATAGATTATGATCATTGATCAATGCACACTAATGCCAGCACAAGATCTAGTGTAGTGAGAAAATTCATTTCAGAAGATGATGTGCACAATTTTAAATCATTCTGATTTAGGTGGTTTCAATCAAGCTGAATCTCAATTCCATGGAGGAAGACTTCACACACACATACACACAAATTAAAAAAAAAAAAAAAAAAATCTAATCTCATCCGTCCAAGTTCAGCGATACGACATTCAAATTATAAATTCAGACAATAATAATATCTAGATCATAAAATCCTCAGTAGAATCTAGACCTCCATTAGGTGATATTTTAAAGTTACATATTTACTCTGAAAATAAAATGCTCTTATAGGCTCCTAAAATTGCACTTTTAGTGGTAGCATGTCCCTAGGATGGATGACAACTGACGCAAAAATGCTTAGAAGATACTTTAAAATATCTACATAAACCATGAAACAGGTTTTTCCTACTAGAAGAAACTCCAACTTTCTGCTTTAAAAAATACAAACTGTTAAGTTCAATTAAGAGAAACAATATAACACAAGTTAAATTTCAGCCTTATCCTGCAATGTTTGTAACATATCAATAGCAAACCACAGCAAAATTATAAAAGTTTGGTAACACTCAAGAAAACTAAATGCCAATATCAAACAAATGCACAAGCACCAACATAACTACAGGTCAAAAGATGACAGAGAAATGCAATGAGACTCAAATTAAAACAATAAAAGCATGGCAGTATGGAACAGTTACGGAAAAACAATACATTTATACCCAATTGAATGGTAAGACATTTCATATATCGATAATTGAAGATAATCAACTTACATATAGCTCTCTTGCTTGTTCATTAATCCACCCTTTCTCGGCGCTCCAACAAGTGTCATGAAATAATTGTATAGGACCGACAGACTCCCCAAGTTGGTGCGCCTTAACAGTTCATATCATCATTGACCATAAATTGAAATAAAATTAGTAAACAGGAAAACAAAGTTGTATATTTGTATAGGTGAATCATATTAAATACTTTTTTCTTTTTGTGCTGGATAAAGTTCTTGAAACCACCGCGGTTCCAAGAACTTTATCCATTAAAGTTCCTTCATACGACACTGCACATCTCTGCAGAAGAAGGCCTGAGGACTTTCCCGCCCGGATCAATGAAATTGAACCAAGTCTCTTGTGGCATGATCTGCATTACTTGTTCACCTTATTTATATTCCACAATTTCCCATATTAACTGAAAGATGTGGGATTAGGAACATAATATTTATAAAACACAAAGAATAAGATGGCCAGTGGAACATGCATGCAGCCAGACATTTCCCTTTCCTTTGGAGCCATAGTAATGCTGCATCTAACGTCTAATCATAATAGTCCAATTAAGTGTGTAAATTTAAGCATATGCCCATCTCTGTAACTTCATCTAGTGTTTTCAAAATACTGCCTATTCTAACATAATTATCATTTTGTTTATCACGTTCTGTCTAAAATTAGAACTATAAAAACAGGGGACTGGTCTTCTCTCTATGGTTTTTCTTTTTATTCTAGAACCTATATTTCACTTCTTGAGCAACAATAAAAAATATTTATGTTACGATGATACATCAACCATTCAGTTCACATTCTCTAATATTTATTTATTGAAGTTCACAATTTAAATGGAACAAAAGGCAATCATAATATAAAGCATTAAAAATGCTCAATTACAGCACCACCATCACATCAAAAACACTTAGAAAACTATGCCTAGTCCTACAATAAGCAGTGTAAGATTAATTTCAATCCAAACAAAATAAACTTCCCACAATAAAAGAAGGTCAGTAGCCATACCAGCCATGAAGCTTCATTTTGAAGTACCGCCTGTATATCCAAATGCTCAGGCCTCAAGAAGGTTTGCAGCAGGCATATCTTCTCAGAGATTTATTTATTTACTTTTTCTATATATAGAAGAATGATGCATTAGTCAAGTTAATGCTTCCAACGATCTTCAAATTTTGTTGTTCTTTTCATAAGTCCCTAAATTTTATTCATCCTCAAGTTATCTTTCTAGTTCTAAGATCAAATGACCCTACAAATTTTCAAGTTAAGTTTTTCCAAACTAGCATTCTGGCCTCATAACAGATGTCAAAATTACTGACCGGACAATTAATCAAGCACCTTCTATTTCTACTTGGTGAAGCAGACCATGTTGTTAGTTATTGAATATATGATTATATATAGGGAAATCAAGAAATGCAAATTTCCAGTCTCCAAATAGCAATAAAACAAAACTCAGGCTGAGCAGTAGGTATTATCTACTCATTTGTCATATCATAACTTAAATGAATAGCTGAAAAGTACCACAATTATTTGCCAGCTTCTAGCATAGATGAATGGAAACACAAGACAACAGCTTTGTGTTAATAAAGCTAGACCAAACTGTGATTTAAGAAAAGGTTGGTATAACTATTCTAACATTTTCAATATCAGCACAAGAGGTATCATACCATACGTTACATATTCCTCTATTTGTAGCAAGGATTACGATTGGAGATAGTGAGCTACGAATCAAGTATGAAAAGCTCTCCATGTCCAGCATATGAACCTGGAGATTGTAACATAAGAAACATACAACAAATCTGAACATATATATACATATATAGAAACAAAATGGGTTTAGGAGAGAACCTCATGAATGAATAGAACTCCAGGTACAAGCTCTGCCACACATTCATCAATATACTGATTAACAACCTGGCATCGGTGAAAATTTTCAGTCAAAGCATTACATTTACAGGTAAATCTTAGAAGTGCGACAGTTGAGATTATAGACCATTGCAGACTCGTCATCCTTATTATTATTATTATTTTTTCAATGCAATTATTGAGGTCATGGAAAGGCATATCAAGTGCTTTTCTGGTAAATGACAAAACAAAGAGGATTCAAAGTAGAACCTTATTTATTTCTTGACGTAGTTTTTCAGTAATTTCTGTTTTCCTCGGCTTCATCATCTAACCCATTACCAGTTTCCTAACACAATACATACCAAGTCTGACGTGGTCCATCAATCCATCAAATGAGCACCAACTGAAACTTCTTCTATTGGGGTAATCGCCAGGGATTTGCGTGGAGAAGAAATTGGGAATTTGGGGAAACAGGGAGGGATTTGCGTGGAGAAGAGAAGAGGTAGGTAAGGTTATGAGATTGGGAATTTGGGGAAATAGGGAGGGATTTGCGTGGAGAAGAGAAGAGGTAGGTAAGGTTATGAGATTGGGAATTTGGGGAAATAGGTAGGGATTTGCGTGGAGAAGAGAAGAGTTAGGTTATGAGATTGGGAGTTTGGGGAAATAGATAGGGATTTACGTGGAGAAGAGAAGAGTTAGGTTATGAGATTGGGAGTTTGGGGAAATAGGTAGGGATTTGCGTGGAGAAGAAATTGGGAATTTGGGGAAACAGGGAGGGATTTGCGTGGAGAAGAGAAGAGGTAGGTAAGGTTATGAGATTGGGAGTTTGGGGAAATAGGTAGGGATTTGCGTGGAGAAGATTGGGAATTTGGGGAAAGGCTTGATTTATATATCTTAGGGTTTTTTTGTAAATAACTTTAAAAAGTAAGGCTTGTAATTAATTGCAAGGTTCTGAAAACTGGATCGGACCGTCCGGTCGGACCGGTTCGACCGGTGACCGGCGGCATTTCTGGTTCGAAATACTTCAAAAACCGTTAATTACATTTAAACCAGATTGGACCGCAGTTAGACCGCCGGAATAGTGCCGAATCGTGGTCCAATCACAGTTGAATCCCGCCAGATTCCGACACCGATCGAGGGAGAAATCACCGCCATTAGACTTGACGACATCTCCACTACAAAACCCTGCCATTTTCAGTGGCCGTTGTCCAGCCATCGTCGCTCGCCGTCCACCTAAACTTCATGCGATCGTCAGACTTCTTTTGTTGATTCCAGCGATTTCCGGCGCCGATGGAACTCCTTGGCACACCATCAAAGTCGCCGACACCTACACATCAAAAGCCCCAAGATTCCAGCTTCGATTGGCCGTCGATCGTCGCTACCTCCACCATTCACCAGAATCTTCGCGCGACAGGGGTGTTTTAGATAGATTTCAAACCTTAAGGGAGTATATAGGGGTGTTTTTGATGAATTTCAAACCTTCAGGGACTACAAAAATTTTATAAATTATCGTCCAACTGACCGATCCAACCGGTCAAACCGGAAACCAGACCCTTGAACGGGTCATTGTCTGGTCTGGTTTTCAGAACATTGATTAATTGTTTAATTTTTAAATATAATTATATTTTGCAAACAAATCAATTTGCAACTAAATTTTTAGACACGAAAAAATTAGTTATAGTTGCAAGTCTGGTGGGAACAAATAATTTGGGGGGAAGATGAATTTTTCAACTTAAATTGGCAACTAAACCGAATTTAGTTGTTATATATAATTTTTTGCAATTATTGTTAATATGAACACAAACATTTATTGCTAAAAATGCCTTGGGCCCTTGTAATTATTGTCCAAATATGGGATATTTTGGAAATTTAATTTTTCTGTAACTAATCATAATAGTTACTACTACATTCTTAATTAATCGCAACTAATTTAGCTACTAACGGGTAGTTGCAAAAAAAATGTTTTTGTAACTGTTAGGGCCAAAAATCGTCCTTAGCCCAAATAGAAAAACGGGCTTGACAGTGAAGGAGAAGCCAAGCCCTATCCCGATGCAACCCAATCCGGTTTAGGCCCATTTGATAAAAGATACAGCCGGTCCAAACCACCTGGGCATGAGCCTGCTAATCCTAGTCCATTATCTAGGTCCATGGACGAGTCCAGAGCCCATAGCCCCCTTAAAATATTTTCCTATTCCTGAACAATCTCCTATCCAAGGTCACCTTCCTGTTCAGAACACTTTCCTACTCGAAGTTACTTTCCTAATCAGAATCACCTTCCTATCCGGACACTGGTAAGACAGCTTGCCACGACCCTAATTCTTCTAGGGTTTGCATCAGAGTCACACTAGAACTCCTACTCCCACCAGGATTGGGAGACCAGACAGTCGCTATATAAACAGAGGTCAGCCCTCTCACAAGGGACACATTACATTACACCTTCACACCCGAAGCTCCTACTTGAGAGCTTCACATCACTGCCGTAGTCACAGACTCCGATTAGACTTCTAGTAACCTCTCCACTTCCTAGCCCTCACTATACTAGCCTCTTAGTGCCTACGGCAAACACCACCTCGGTGTTTCCTATTCGCTTCACACGTTTGTTTCTCTACGTGTGCAGCTGCAGCGGATCGCTAGTGGCCTCAACCTCACGGGATTAGACCCCCCTTCCGTACAGGTAGATTTTTATGTCTACAGTTTGACGCCCACCGTGGGGCCTCTAGCAATCATTCGGCTTGACGAACCTTGCTATGTAGAGGAACTTTCCATGGTTGACAACTCCGACAATGCTAATCTCGGCCTCGAGGCCAAATTGGAGGCTCTGACCGCTCTCATGCAATAGAACTCGGACAAGGTAGCCGCACTGGAAGCCGAGAACAATGCAATCCAGACCGAAAACGCATCCATCAGATCAGAAAACCAGTCTCTTAAGGAGAAGGTGAGTCAATTCTATGATCTAGAGTTCCTGCCTGGCCAGGCACCCCCCAATCGGTTCCGCGCCCCTGTTCCATCCATGCAACCTCTCCATACGCTAGAGCACCGACCCTTGGTCTTCGGCAAAAAGCTGCATCCGTTAAATTCATCGGCGGTCGACGATTCTGTCCTGACACATGGAGGTAAAGATACGCCAACAGAACACTATCAAGCCGACCCATCCCAACCTCAAGATCAATACAGTCCAGTGACAGAAAGCCTGAACCCGTAAGATCAACCCATTCTTACCATCCCATATTACCTCCAGTTAACCTTCCCAACACAAACCCCATTCAGCTCGGCTCACCCCCACGGGTTGAATGGCCAAACCCAACAAACCATAACACTCGAGCCCGTCCATCCTGACGAACCAAGTGACTACCAGACGACTCCACTGACCATTCATGGAGGGCGAAACACCAGAACTGTTACCATGGGAGTCATCTAACCAGAAGGAATGAATGAAGATCTAGGCTCCCAAGGTGTGCACGAAGCAATGAATCACCAAATCACACCGCACGGGACGGTCCAACGGAATATGCCAAAGACAATTGCAAAGGCCAACCTGGTCATGCGGGATGACCTAGTGGCGTCCCCTTCTCCTATGGAACAGGTATTAGCTAAAAGATTGGCCGATGTGGAAGCAGTGATGAGACGCATCCTAGGAATGCCGGTCCCAACCAAGAAGAACAAGCCCCATTGTTACGCGGATTCACCCTTCGTGGATGAGATCGCCCTAGCTGACATGCCTCAGAAGTTTACCATCCCCAACATGAAATTGTACGATGGCACAACCGACCCAGAAGATCACATAGCCTCGTACAAGCAGCGGATGTTCATTGTCTTAATACCCCGATCGCTTAGGGAAGCCTGAATGTGCAAAAGTTTCGGTTCGAGCTTATCCGGCCTGGCACTCCAATGGTTACACGAATCTCTCAAACGGATCCATCGACTCATTCGCCCAACTCCCCGATACCTTTGTGGAACAGTTTGCCAGCAGCAAGAAACTCGAGAAGCTGTCGGCCGACCTATACAGAGTATACTAGAGAAAGGGCGAGCCACTGAGAGAGTATGTCAGCAGGTTCAACAAAGAGAAGATCTCCATCCCTGTATGTAACCCTGAGACAATCGTGGATGCCTTCAGGAAGGGTCTCCTCCCAGACGGAGAACTATACAAAGAGCTTACAAAGTTGGGTTGCACCATAATGGAAGACGCCTTGGCTCGGGTAGTGATTTAAATAAGATGGGAGGAGGATGAGATAAACCGGACGATTCACTCCAAATACGATTCAAGGCCGAATGACAGGAAACCAGAGCATAAGCCAGCGGAGCACCGCTACCAACCCCCAGCATGTAATTCAAGCAGAGTCAAGAAACGTATGATCGCCAACCGATGAGAACCGAGAGTAGACAGTTTAGATCGAACCGTACAAAATACATGAATACAACCTCAATGTCGAGCCAACCTAGGTCATCGCGATTATGAAGGGAATGGGATCCATTGTTAAGTGGCCAAGCAAGTTCAATCTCGAGGCAAGGAGAGACAAGACCAAATGGTGTGAGTTCCACGATGATCATGGGCACAACACCATAGACTACATCGCCTTACGGCTAGAGGTTGCTGCACTTCTAAAGAGGGGACATCTCTGGGATCTGCTAACCGATAAGGGGAAGAACACCATTAGCGATAAAAGTTCAAAAGGACCATCACCACCTCCACAAGAACCTAAACCAAAAGGATTCTGTTCGCTCATCTCCGGGGGATCAGAGATCAGTGGGGTAAGTTACTCATCAGCCAAGCGATATGCCAGAGCCAACCACCACCATGAAGTCTAGTCCATCCATCCAGTCTCACGGTCACACACCTATTAGGTAATTAAATTTGAAGATGACGAGCCGGTCACCTTGACCGTTCCTCATCACGATACTCTAGTCGTCTCCCTATAGATCGCCAACATCCTAGTGAAAAGAGTATTCATAGACGGAGACTTTTTAGCAAACATCCTATTCCTCGAAGCAGTGAAGGCTATGGGACTAGAAGAGGCAAACATCAACAGGCGGCCGACGCTGCTAGTTGGTTTCAACTTTGAGCAGAAGTATACTATCAGGGAGATCATCCTTCCTATCTACGCCAGTGGAGTGAACAAACATACCATTTTTCTAGTAATCGACTGCCCCTCACCATACAACGTCATCTTAGGCTGACCTTGGATCCACAACATGTGGGCAGTCCCATCTACCTTCTACCAAATGATTAGATTTCCAACCAAGTGGGGGGTAAGAGAGATCAAGGGCGACCCCAAAACTTCTAGAGATTGCTACAAGAATGCCTTCAAAGGCAAAGGTAACTCTTCATAGCAATTATAGTCTCACCCAACCCCACCGACCGAGCCAGATCAACCATCTATGAAAGAGTTGGATGAAGTACAGATACATCCGAATGACCCCGAGAGAAAGACACACATAGGGTCCCGCCTCAAGCCTGAGACAAGGGAGAAGCTGATAGAATTCCTCAAACAGAACCAAGACTGTTTCGCCTAGTCCCACGCTGACATGA